GAAAAACTTTAAGCTAACCCATAGTTGAATCGAGGACAAAGGCCACTTTTCCACCCGGCCAGCGACGTGAAGCAATCGGTATGGCATTTCTGACCTAAATTTTCAATTTACATTAATTTAATTACATCCGAAACGTTTAAAATAAACAAACTTACATCATTATCTTCAATTCCAATAATGTCTCCTTGGAAGAGATCAGGATTATGTAAAGCAATGTACGGGAGATCGACTAGAAATTGTTAAAAGTATCGCAATTGTTAGAATGTAAAATCTTTAATATAAATTTTAAATCCGCAAGAAAAAAGGAGAAAATTGTTACCGTGTCTGGCAAAAGTCACCGTGAACAATGCAAATAAGAACAACATTTTTAATGAATTATCAATAGAGCTTCACAGTTAACTCTTTTCTAAGTGAATTGAACATCGCTATTTATACAATTTCTTTCTATAATCTAATCAAAAGGTGTTTTAAGATAATTGTTTNAATAGTGCCTACATATTCGCACCCTTTTCCCAGGGATAGAGGTTGTGATCCTCCAACTCGACCAATATTAGAATAACAACTAAATTAAATATAATATTATTACAAAATAAGTAAAATGTATTATATTAATCACAAGGTAAATATATATATATACCCATCTGCATTGATGAATCTAATGAAATCTGTTTCCAATTGTCTTTCATTGAAAGAAATACATCCGCCTGTTTGTTGATTTATGTGGTTCATTGCTTGGCTAATTAAAGATTTCTTATCTCCTGTTATAAAAATTGTTTAACTCAATTAATTAAATTATTTTATTGATATTAAATTTAAAAAAAGAAAAGAAAAACTTTAAGCTAACCCATAGTTGAATCGAGGACAAAGGCCACTTTTCCACCCGGCCAGCGACGTGAAGCAATCGGTATGGCATTTCTGACCTAAATTTTCAATTTACATTAATTTAATTACATCCGAAACGTTTAAAATAAACAAACTTACATCATTATCTTCAATTCCAATAATGTCTCCTTGGAAGAGATCAGGATTATGTAAAGCAATGTACGGGAGATCGACTAGAAATTGTTAAAAGTATCGCAATTGTTAGAATGTAAAATCTTTAATATAAATTTTAAATCCGCAAGAAAAAAGGAGAAAATTGTTACCGTGTCTGGCAAAAGTCACCGTGAACAATGCAAATAAGAACAACATTTTTAATGAATTATCAATAGAGCTTCACAGTTAACTCTTTTCTAAGTGAATTGAACATCGCTATTTATACAATTTCTTTCTATAATCTAATCAAAAGGTGTTTTAAGATAATTGTTTTTAAAACAATTTTAATAATTTTTTAATCTTTTATCTATATAAAATATATTATTATTTAATAAATTATCATAAATTATCAACGTAGTAAAACAGTAAATATGCCTATATAACTTAAGAGAAATATCGAAATATTTTTGTGATATTGAAATAAATTCTACATTTATTTAAATATAACAAATTTTACATTTTAGGAATGTAAGTTATATTAAGTTAGAAAAAAATTAAACTGTAACGATCAATTATTTATTGTGAGATTGACACAATCATGCCCTTCATCCTAAATGAGTAGTGGCTTGCCCCTGTACATCAAACTTTCCCTTTAACAATAGAGTCGTGCCTGTCATCTACCTAACACCTTCCAGAGAAAAGGTTTTGAATTGAAATAACGTGAATTCCTGTTAAATCGGTAGCTTTTATATAGTTAGTTGGGACCTTCCTCTCCTATTGTTTCCAAATCTCCGGGATCTTTCATGTATCTCGATATTAAGAAAAGACAGACGGACAGACGACGGTGGATATTTATAGGTCTACAATGTTTTCAAATTGCAGCCCAATTAAAAATTATTAAAAATTATTACGAGAAAACAACGAAAATAACGATACAGTAGTACCGATTTGTTGGAATCTTGCTTCTTTAATTGTTTAAGGCGTATTTATTGATAAATTTCTTATTTAATAAATAAAACAGCACTTTGAAATTAAGTGAAAGTACGTGTTTTAAGTCTAAGAATATAATTATTAAATATTCAGCATTTATTTATTTCTATTAAGCTTATTTGTATATTATTTGAGCAGAAGTTTAGTTTCTCAAGTGATTTATATCTTCGTTTTCAGACTTAGATAAGAAATGTATGCATAGACAAAATTGAATTAAGATAAGTAAATGCTTTAGAAATAAAATAAATAAAAAGCTAACTAGTTATGAATTGTCATTTAAAAAGTAAGTGGGGAAAGACACTACTAAAATTAACAGCATTGTGACGAAAATTTTGTCGCAATTCTGTCGATTTTAATAGGTATTGTGACACACAATAAATTTACTCGTATATTATAGGTTTATTATACGGGCTGTTGCCCTGTTTCACATTTATTTGAAAATCTTAACGAAGCTATATTTAACGTTCTTATTGTATGTTAATTTGTATATGTTATAAACTTTCCCAAGTGCTCATAGTCCAATAATTAATGTCATACTTTTAAAACGAGTGTATCGTAGAAATCCAATAAGGAAAAACTGTTTTAACAGAAGGTTCTGGTATTTAACAGTAGAATTAAGTGACGTGACAGAAATAATACGTATACTTGTCTGGGTGTAATTATTTCTCTTCAAGTTTAACCCCCTCCTAAATGGTTTTCTGCGGTCGTCATGATGTATTTGAAATAAATGAATAATAATAACCTATTAATATAATTAAGTATAAAAACAATTTTAAAATTAATATAATATTAATTTTATTTCATCGAAAATAGAAAGATAAATATTCGCAGTTTAATCGAATTAAGTTTGATAACTTTTTACGGTTTAACCCTGAGCTACTAAGAAAATTCTTGATACGCTCTTTAAACACTAACTTTCCACAGTGAAATAACAGCTGTTACAATGAAGATATAATATTATACGTATAATTTCAAAAAAATAATGATAGTTATTACTCTATCTAATACTAGTTACACAATGTTTTAATTAATTTTATAAAAATGGGAAGCATACTTATCAATGTTTGTACGCAACATTCAATTTTTGGAAACAAAATACAATATAATTGAAAAGGTAACTTTAATTAGAAAAATTCTTAATATTACAGTTTAGCCAAATGAACGGAGGGACGAGATACTAAAGGTAATCTTTGAAGTTTAAACTAGTATTTATTCACATTACTCGTTTCTCACCAAAATATTCTTATTTAGTTCCATTTATTTATAATACATCAAAATGTAAATGGGTAAATCCTGTTTCCAACGCTGATAAGAATGTAATATGTGAATCCAATCCACCTATCTGCCATTCTGGAAGTTTATTTAACTTAAAATTTATGTTCTCTAATTAGTAGTTACCTCTGTACATCATATTATTCCTTTAACAATAGAGCCGTGCCGGTTATCTATCTAATAACTTTCTAGAGAAAACTTTTTAATTGAAATAACATTGCTTCCGGTCTAGATCGGATGTTCGTGTATAGTTAATCGAGTCCACCTGTCTCCATTCCTTCCAGATTTGGTCTCGCCTTTCATCTATCTAACGTTTTCTTTTTCGAGATTAAGGAAAGACAGCGGACGGACGAACGGACGGCCGACAGATGGAATTTAGAAGTGTACTATTTTTTCAAATTGCAGTCAAATAACACGTAAAAACAGTATTTTCCCCACTTTGTACTTGCGTAAAAATTTTCTTAATTATGACAAATTGACTAATATAAAATTTACAAACAACATATAATAAATACATATAAAGAAGACTTAAATAACACTATCCTTATTTATTTATTGTTTTATTATTTACAAAGATATTTACATTCAAAAAAGTATTTTCGTGCTATTAAGACATCTTTTTATCAATTCATTTACAGACGGATCCCCGGAAAAACCAATATTTTACTTTTTTGATTGGATTCAAAAGGTTCATTAAAGCTTCTCTGTGCAGAAAACACTTAGATTACACAAAATAAAAGTTTAAAATAAAATAAGTAGTACAGTTTTCTACAAATGATAAGAAAAACATTCAATAATAGACATGAGATAACAATAGAGTTTTATTGTTAAAATGTATTCTTTTCCAAGAAAGATTTCGTCTGCAATGTTTTCCATTTATATTTTAATATTTATTATATTTTCTCGGCAAGTTTCGTCAAGGGCTTCGCCAGTATCGTCTAGACATTCGGATCCAGTAGAACACAAAACAGAAGACAACAATTATGTCTGTATGTTTCGTGTGAAACGAGATCCACAAAAATTTCGAAAGTTTGCCAAAGATCGCAACTATTTAACGTATCTGTATCGACTCTTATCACGTCCAACGACCGAATATGATATCGACGTATCATCCGAAAATCAATTTTCTACAACAAAAATAACAACAACAACGGAGACATTAGAGACACAAACAGATTGGTTGAGACTCGTGTTGCAAACGATGAGAGGTAAAAAATTCCAAGAAATACAAGATCTCATTGAGAATGAAAGCACGGACAAGTTTGTATCAACTGCACCCAACATTGGAATAGATATCGATAAGACTACATCATCAAACCCAACTTATATGATTGTATATTACTTTCTAATCACCTCTACTTTAATTGTTTGTGCAATATTCATTCAACTGTGTAGAATGAATTCTCGCCAGAAACCTGATTTATCTGCACGTTCAATCAGAAAATCGATTGCATAGAAATACAAACCGAAGAGAAAATTTCATCAGAGTCAGAGAAAACGAGTTTGTCTCATTTCAATTACAGAATGGCACACGTTAGTCATTCATAAAAGTTCAACGAATGATCGAAGATTTAGACGNTATTACAGTTTAGCCAAATGAACGGAGGGACGAGATACTAAAGGTAATCTTTGAAGTTTAAAGTAGTATTTATTCACATTACTCGTTTCTCACCAGAATATTCCTATTTAGTTCCATTTATTTATAATAAACCGAAATGTAAATGGGTAAATCCTATTTCCAACGCTGATAAGAATGGAATATGTGAATCCAATCCACCTATCTGCCATTCTGGAAGTTTATTTAACTTAAAATTTGTTCTCTAATTAATAGTTACCTCTGTACATCATCTTTTTCCTTTAACAATAGAGCCGTACCGGTTATCTATCTAATAACTTTCTAGAGAAAATTTTTTAATTGAAATAACATTGCTTCCGGTCTAGATCGGACGTTCGTGTATAGTTAATCGAGTCCCTCTGTCTCCATTCCTTCCAGATCTGGTCTCGCCTTTCATCTATCTAACGTTTTCTCTCTCGAGATTAAGGACAGACAGCGGACGGACGGCAGACAGAGGAAATTTAGAAGTGTGTTATTTTTTTTTCAAATTGCAGTCAAATAACACGTAAAAACAGTATTTTCACCCCTTTGTACTTGCGTAAAAATTTTCTTAATTATGACAAATTAGCTAACATAAAATTTACAAACAACATATAATAAAT